TAAATGTAAATGGATTAAATGCTCCAATCAAAAGACACAGGGTAGCTGAATGAATAAAAAACATGACCCATATATTTGCTGTCTGCAAGAGATCCACCTCAGAACAAAGGGTTCACACAGACTGAGAGTGAAGGGATGGAAAAAATTTTTTCAGGCAAATGGAAATGAGAAAAAAGCCGGGGTTGTGATACTTATATCTGACAAAATAGACCTCAAAGTAAAGGCCATAACAAGAGATAAGGAAGGCCACTACATAATACTAAAGGGAGCAATTCAACAAGAAGCTATAACTCTGATAAACATATATGCACCCAACACAGTAGCACCCAAATGCATAAAACAACTTCTGGAAGATATCAAGGGAGAGATCGATATCAATACAGTCATAGTAGGGGACTCTAATACCCCATTGATACCACTGGATAAATTCTCTAAACAAAATATCAGCAAAGAAACAGCAATCCTAAATGACTCACTAGATCAGATGGACTTAATTGACATCTTCAGAACATTTCACTCCAAAGCTACAGAATATACATTCTTCTCCAGTGCACATGGGACATTTTCAAAGATAGACCATATATTAGGACACAGGCAAAGTCTCTTCAAATTCAAGAGAATAGAAATCATAACAAGCATCTTCTCAGATCACAATGGCATAAAACTAGAAATCAACTACAATAAAAACATTGAAAAAAATCAAACACTTGGAGGCTAAATAGCATGCTATTAAACAATGACTGGGTTACCAGAGAGATCAAAGAAGAAATTAAAAGCATCCTGGAAACAAATGACAATGAAAACATAACAATCCAAAATCTATGGGAGACAATGAAAACAATCCTGAGAAGGAAGTTCATAGCTCTACAGGCCTACCTCAAAAAACAAGAAAAACTGGTAATAAATGATCTAACCTTACAACTCAAAGAGTTAGAAAGAGAGCAACAAGAAAATCCCACAGTATCCAGAAGGAAGGAAATAATAAAGATCAGAGCAGAAATAAATGATATAGAGACCAAAAAAACAATACAAAAGATCAATGAAACCAAGAGCTGGTTCTTTGAAAGGATTAACAAGATTGATGAACCTCTAGCCAGGCTCACCAAGAAACAAAGAGAGAGGACCCAAGTAAACAAAATCAGAAATGAAAGAGGCGAAATAACAACTGACCCTACAGATACACAAAGAATTGTCAAAAAATACTATGAACAACTCTACTCCAACAAACTGGACAACCTCGAAAATGGACACATTCCTAGAAAAATACAAGCTTCCAAAACTCAATCAGGAAGAATAAAAAAACCTGAGTAGGCCAATAACTACTGATGAAATTGAAACAGTAATCAAAAAACTTCCAGCAAACAAAAGCCCTGGACCAGATGGCTTCACAGGGGAGTTTTACTGAACATTCAAAGAAGAACTAAAGCCAATCCTTCTCAGACTATTCCAAAAAATTCAAGAGGAAGGCACACTTCCAAGCTCTTTCTATGAAGCCAGCATTACCCTAATCCCAAAACCAGATAAAGACACCACAAAGAAAGAGAATTACAGGCCAAATATCCCTGATGAACATAGATGCCAAAATCCTCAACAAAATTCTAGCAAATTGGATCCAGCATTACATTAGAAAGATCATACAACATGACCAAGTGGAATTTATTCCAGGAATGCAAGGCTGGTACAATATCTGCTAATCAATAAATGTGATACATCACATAAACAAACTGAGAGATAAAAATCACATAATCATATTGATTGATGCAGAAAAGGCATTTGACAACACCCTTTTCTGATAAAAATGCTCAGCAAAGTGGGAATAGAGGGATCATACCTCAACATAATAAAAGCCTTATATGACAAACCTACAGGTAACATCACACTCAATGGGCAAAAACTAAAACCATTTCCCTTAAGAACAGGAACAAGACAGGAATGCCCACTTTCACCACTCCTGTTCAACATAGTACTGGAAGTGCTAGCCAAAGCGATCAGACAAGAAGAAGAAAAAAAAGGCATCCAAATTGGAAAAGAAGAAGTAAATTTGTCATTATTCACAGATGACATGATACTGTACATAGAAAACCCTAAAGACTTCATCAAAAAATTATTAGATCTAATAAATGAATTTGGCAATGTAGCAGGATACAAAATTAACCCCAAGAAATCTATGGCATTTTTATACGCCAATAGTGAACTTACAGAAAGAGAAATTAAAAAAACAATCCCATTTACCATTGCACCAAAAAAATTAAGATAACTAGGAATAAACTTAACTAAGGAAGTAAAAGACCTCTATCCAGAAAACTATAGGACATTGAAAAAAGAGATAGAGGAAGACATAAACAGATGGAAAAACATACCGTGTTCATGGATTGGTAGAATCAACATCATCAAAATGTCCATACTACCCAAAGCAATCTATAGATTCAATGCAATCCCCATTAAATTACCAATGGCATATTTCACAGATCTAGAAAGAACTCTCCAAAAATTCATCTGGAATAAAAATAAACACACCAAAAACAAACCCCGAATAGCTGCTGTGATCCTGAGAAAGAAGAACAAAGTAGGAGGGATCTCAATACCAGATATCAAGCTGTATTACAAAGCCACTGTTCTCAAAACTGCCTGGTACTGGCACAAGAACAGACATATAGACCAATGCAATAGAATAGAGAACACAGAAATTGGCCCAAACCACTATGCTCAACTAATATTTGACAAAGGAGACAAGAACATACAATGGAGTCAAGACAGTCTCTTCAATAAATGGTGTTGGGAAAATTGGTCAGACACATGCAAAAAAAAAAAAAATGAAACTAGACCACCAACTTACACCATACACAAAAATAAACTCAAAATGGATAAAGGACTTAAACGTAAGAAAGGAAACCATAAAAATATTAGAGGAATCCACAGGTAGCAAAATCTCATATGCTGAAGGAATTTCTTTCTTTTTTTTAAAAATATATTTTATTGATTTTTTACAGAGAAGAAGGGAGAGGGGTAGAGAGTTAGAAACATCAATGAGAGAGAAACACCGATCAGCTGCCTCTTGCACGCCCTCCAGTGGGGATGTGCCCGCAACCAAGGTACATGCCCTTGACCGGAATCGAACCTGGGACCCTTGAGTCTGCAGGCCGACGCTCTACCACTGAGCCAAACCGGTTCGGCATGAAGGAATTTCTTTACTGACAGTTTCTAGGGCAATGGAAACTAAAGAGAAAAATAAACAAATGGGACTATATCAAAATAAAAAGCTTCTGCACAGCTTCTGCTCAACAAAACAACAAAAAGCCCACTGCATGGGAGAACATATTTGCCAATGATATCTCTGATAAAGTTTAACCTCCAACATTTACAGGGAACTCATGCAACTTAACAAAAGGAAGATAAACAGCCCAATCAAAAAATGGGTAACGGACCTAAATAGACTCTTTTTGAAAGAGGACATACATAAGGCTGAGAGACATATGAAAACATGCTCAAAGTCACTAATCATCTGAGAGATGCAAATCAAAACAACAATGAGGTACCACCTCACACCTTTCAGAATGGCTATCATCAACAAATCAACAAGTGACAAATGCTGGTGAGGATGCGGAGAAAAAGGAACCCTTGTTCACTGCTGGTGGGAATGCAGACTGGTTCAGCCACTGTGGAGAACAGTATGGAGTTTCCTTAAATAACTACAAATGAAACTTCCATTTGACCCAGTGATCCCACTTCTAGGAATATATCCCAAGAAAACAGAAACACCAATCAGAAAGGTTATATGCACCCCCATGTTCATAGCAGCACAATTTACAATAGCTAAGATTTGGGATCAGCCTAAGTGCCCATCAGCAGATGAATGGATTAAAAAACTTTGGCACATCTACACAATGGAATACTATGCTGCTGTAAAAAGGAAGGAACTCCTACCATTTGCAACAGCATGGATGGAGCTGGAGAGCATTATGCTAAGTGAAATAAGTCAGTCAGAGAAAGATAAATATCACATGCTCTCCTCATTTGTGGATTATAATGAACAACATAAACCAATGAACAAAAACAGATGTAGAGACAGAGAAGCATTGATCAGATGCTGAAAACTCAGAGGAAAAGCAGGGGAGGGTGGGGGTGAAGGGGAGAGATCAACCAAAGCACTTGCATGCATGCATATAAGCATAAGCGATGGATGTAGACAACAGGGGGTGAGGGGTGAGTGCAGATTGGGGGGATGAGGGGACATTGGGGGGATAGGACACATTTGTAATACCGTAATCAATAAAAAGAGAAAAATGGATTCTGTTCTTTTTAACTTATTTTATTTATTCATTTTAGTATTTTTTTAAAATATATTTTTATTGATTTTAGAGAGGAAGGGAGAGGGAGAGCAAGAGAAACATCAATGATTAGAGAGAATCACTGATTGGCTGCCTCCTGCACTCCCTCTAGTGGGGATGGAGTCTGCAACCTGGGCATATGTCCTGACTTGGATTCGAACTGTGATCTCCTGCTTCACAGGTTAATGCTCAACCACTGAGCCATGCCAGTGGGACCATTTTAGTATTTTTTTAATTAAAACTTTTTTGATGTTGACATTATTGCAGGAGTCCCCCTCCCCTCTTTGCCCACCTCCACCCTCCCACTTCCTTGGCCTTTACCAAGTTCTTGTCCATAACCATGGGGTTGAACCCCCTGTGAGAGCAGATGGTCCTTTTCATCTTTCCCTCTCCCTTTTGCCTGGTCATGAAACACTAAAACAAAGGGATTTTACAAACATCTCTGCCTCATTTTAAATGCATTTTAAGCTATTGAGACTCAGGGACATGAAAACATGAGCCAATGTCCTGTGGTTTCAGCTGAGAGATAATCTTGAACTTTATGCTCTCAGGCTTAGGAACACACATGCACGGCCCTGGGGAGGTTGATTCTTATCTGGTTGCAGGGGGTGGTGTGAGGGAAGCATGTTATATAAGGAGGTGACAGAGGCTGATGTTCATCAGTCACGAGAAGGCCAGCAGCCATGGTACCGAACGTGGGAATCTTTCTCATCTGCATTGGTGCCTATGTATTTCTCCAAGTGGGCCATGTGAATGCAGGTAAGGGAGGGGAGAGGGGGCTAAGAGTCGGTGTGGAAGATAGTGCACCAGACATGGGTTGAATGGTAAAATTAATAATAATCTATACTAATAAAAGAGTGATATGTTAATTAGATTGGGAGCCTTTCTGGAGGACCTTCCAGACATCCATCCAGACAAAGCCATGGTGGCGGAGCCGAGGCAGAGGTGGTTAGGGGTGACCAGTCCGGGGAGGGGGCAGTTGGGGGCAAGCTGCCCAGCAGGGGGTGTCACTTGGGGGTGAGCAAGCCAGTGGGGGTGGGGGCAGTTGGGTGCGAGCAGGCCGGGGGAGGGAAGTTGGGGACGAGAAGGCCGGCGTTAGGGGGCAGTAGGGTGCAAGCACCGTCAGCAGGGGGTCAGTTGGGGGCGATCAGGTCAGCAATGGGAGGCAGTTAGGGGTGATCAGACTGGCAAGCAGAATGGTTAGGGGTGACTAGGCATGCAGGCAGGTGAGTGGTTAGGAGCCAGTGGTCCTGGATTGCGAGAGAAATGTCTGACTGCCCTGTGGGATCGAGCCTAAACCGGCAGTCGGACATCCCCCAAGGGGTCCCAGATTGGAGAGTGCAGGCCGGATTGAACAACACCGCCCCTCCCGTGTGCGAATTTTGTGCACCAGGCTACTAGTATTAATAATAATCCTATATAATAAAAGCCCAGTGACCATAATGGCAAAATGACCAGAACGACTGCCCAACCAGTCACTATGATGTGCACTGACCACCTCTCAGTCCCTTTTTCAGGTCTGCAGGCACCGATGGTGAATGGGGACCTGGGGTGGGAGGCGGGGATGCGTGTGGCGCCAGGCCAAGGTCCCCGCCTGGCCAGTTGCCCCCCACACAAAGGGTGACCGATGGCAGGGGTGGGGCCGGCAAGTGGCCGGGAACAGCCGACCTCTTGATCCCTTCCCCGGCTGTCAGGCTCCCATTGCTAGATGGAGAATGGGGAAATGGGGTGGGTGGTGGTAGGGGACGGGGCTGGCTGCCAGCAGCCGGAGAAGATGGCCCTGATCACAAGCTAGGCCTGAGGACTCTACCCATGCATGATTTCATGAGCTGGGCCTCTAGTAAATAATAATAATGTTCTTTAGTGTGCCTCAAGGTCCAAACACTTTTTTTTTAAATCCTCATCTGAGGATATGTTTTTATTGATGTTAAAGAGAGAAAAAGAGAGAGAGAGAGAGAGAGAGAGAGAGAGAGAGAGAGAGAGACATTGATTGGTTGCCTTCTGTATGGGCCCCAACTGGGACTGAACCCACTATCTATATATGTGCCCTGACTGGGAATTGAACCCTTGACCGTTTGGTGCATGGGACAATGCTCCAACTAACTGAGCCACATTGCCCAGGGTGACCAAATTCTAGTAAGGACTTGTTTTTTCTTAAACAAGTCTCTGAAGTGTAAGCCTAGTCAGTCTTACTCAAAAGCTCATAGTATTATTAACTCTCAATCCCCACAACAGCTGCCTCATTCCTAAATTTGCTTTCCAGTATTCCAGACCTACACACAAGGTTCCATATATTGTCCACAGTGAGTTATTGATGTAAATAGGGATACATGTTCGGGATAACAGAGAAGCCATATTGTCAGGGCACATGCACCATTAATGTGGTACGGGTTGAGTCCCATTTGGCCATTTAACCCTTAGCTGTCAGTATGATTGCAATCAGAAAGTGTAAGATTCTTACTCATCTGGGATGTCTTGCAGCCTTCTCCTGTACCCGTTTCTATTAGAATGGCCTTCAAAATGTGAAGAAAATAAAGTGTTGTTAACTAAATCGCTATGTTGTAGAGCGGACCAATGGAGCTTACACTTGGTGTTCTTACCACAGTATAAAATTATAATGTTTTAATGTGAAAAAAGTTAGAGCTGCAGAGCATTTGTGCCACCAAATGGACTCAGACCATCCCCACCCATCTCTCTTCTACTCCATCCATCTCCTCTACCCCTGTATTTTTTCCAGCTCAGTTGCATCCTGGGACCCTCTGTCCTTCTGAAATTATCTCAGAGTAGTGGACTGGTGCATAAATTCATGCACATTGAAAGGAAATTAATTAGAAGTAATATTTTAATATTGCTATTTTCCCTTTCTGTATAATAGAAATGTCAACTAAATTCACGATTGACAATGACAGATGAAAACACATGTGCGAGTGACGCCAGCAAGAGCTTTATATGTATTGCATATGCATTGGTCAACTTAGCCTTTCATGTATATAGAATAAACTTGCTTAATTAGACCTGCTTTCTGATTTAGCTAAACTTTTTTTCCAGCCCAGTGAAGCACCCTAACTTCTCTTTTAGGTAATTGTCACCAACACAGCAGTAAATATCAACACGAAGCAGATTATTATTGTAGATCACACAGGGAAAACAAAGGGTGAAATATTTAACTGCAGGAGTGTTTGACTATATTCTGCGCAGTGAGAAAACATGAAGTCATTTTCAAAGTCCACCATTTCTTACTTCTTTTCAGTCGGGTCAAGTTTCTAAGGTTTTTTTTTTTTTAAATATATATTTTATTGATTTTTTACAGAGAGGAAGGGAGAGGGATAGAGATTTAGAAACATCGATCAGCTGCCTCCCACACACTCCCCACTGGGTATGTGCCCGCAACCAAGGTACATGCCCTTGACTGGAATTGAACCTGGGACCCTTGAGTCCACAGGCTGACACTCTATCCACTGAGCTAAACCGGTTAAGACATGTTTCTAAGCTTTTTAAATCTCCATTTTCTGGCTATTGAAAAGAAAATAGTCTCCTATCTACCTACTCCCGGACTTTAGTGTGGGTCAAAAGAGATGAGGCATCGGAAAACACTTCACAGACATTTGATTACAGTGTAAAGTGTTTCCACCTGGCTATAAAGCAAGTCATGTTCTTGGGCTGAAGAAAATGCAAGGAGGCTAGTCATTGCTAGGGCGAGAAAGCCAGGCCTTGCTATGTGACGTCATTACCCGGTGCCCACAGCCACCATTTCAGGACCGGTCTTGGCTGTGGGCTGCATAATTGCCATGGGTCTCAGCAGCATCAGGTGCAATTTGCTGGGCTGTCCTTCTGGGGTGGTGGCGGGGCCTGTGTTCCCCTTGGGGGAAGCTGAGTGTTGCTTTGTGGGTGCCAGGTCCATGGTGTCATTTCTCTGTGTGTCACAGCAACTCCTGCATTGAGCGTCTGCGCCCTGGTGTTTGGTGCGTGTCATAGCAACCCGTCAAATGGAGGGAAGGACACATATATTAGCCATATATATACTAGAGGCCCAGTGCATGACATTCATGCACGGGGTGGGGAGGTCCTTCAGCCCGGCCTGCACCCTCTCAAAATCCGGGATCCCTCGGGGGATGTCCTGCTAGTTTAGGCCCGATCTGCAGCAGAAGGGGCATAAACCGGAAGTTGTACATCCCTCTTGCAATCTGGGACCACTGGCTCCTAACCGCTCATCTGCCTGCCTGCCTGATTGACCTTAACAACTCTCCTGCCTGCCTGATCGCACCTAATTACTTTCCTGCCTGATTTCTCCTAACTGCTCGCCATCACCCCTAACTGCCTCTGCTTGCCTTACTGATCACCCCTAACCACTCTGTGTACCTGCCTGATGCCCCTAACTGCTCACCTGCCTTCCTGATTGCCCCTAAAGGTCCACCTGCCTGCCTGATAACCCCTACCCCTTCTGCCTGCTTGCCTTTTCGACCCTAACCTTTCTGCATGTCTGCCTGATTGCCCCTAACCGTTCTGCTTGCCTGCTTGATTGCCTCTAACTGCTCGCCTGTCTACCTGATTGCCCCTAACTGCCTTTGCCTTGGCCCTTGCCATGGTGGCTTCGTGCAGATGGATGTTCGGAATGACATCTGGAAGTTCGTTCAGCTGTCCAGTCTAATTAGCATATTACACTTTTATTATTATAGATAAGCAATGTTGGAAAATAATGAAAACAAAACAACAATCAAATCAAACATACTAATGTTAGGTGGCAATTGTGATCAGCATTCTTCAAAGGTATTTTACATGCATAGGCTAAGTCTGCCCTGTCAGTAATGAGAGGGGCAGGCGCACCCTTCCCCTCCCCCTCTCCCCAGGTGTCTAGTCATTAAGATCAAGCCACTGGTAGATAGAGGGGCTGGAGTCTAAGGATCAGGCTTCGTTCCAAGGGATCGTGTTCTACTCAGGGAGCCTGTCCAAGAAGCACAGGCAGGACTGGGTGGGGCAGAGGTTATTCAAACAGAAATAGGCACATGAGTTGCAGAGAGGCGAGCTTTGCCACCAGTAAATTCAGTGATGCAGCTGAGAGAATTCATTCAAGCCAAAGACGCCTTGGCCACGAAGCCCTCTCTGGTTTCCATAGTTTTCCTCTTCAATCTATTCAAGTGCCAAAGCCAGTGCACGCTGAAACTCATTTTGTTACCCTGTGAATGTGGCTTGTTATTGATCTTCTGAATGGTGTGAGGCAGATTATTAATGATAATAAGAAGACATCATCTGTGTTCATAGATGTGAAAGGGACTTCAAATACGGCTGCTAAATCGGGTAACGCAGGAACTCCAGACACAAAAAATCAGCAGCCTGTAAAGAATAATCCTAGCCCTGGCCCGGTGTCTCCGCCGGTTGGAGGATCAGCAAGAGGTAGGTTTGATTCGGTGTCAGGGCACATACTTATAGGTTCCAGGTTTGATCCCCTGTCAGGACGTGTACGGGAGGCAACTGAGGGATGTTTCTCTCTGTCTCTCCCTTCCTCCCTTCTTCTGTGTCTAAAAATCAGTAAAAACATATCCTCGGGTAAGGATTAAAAGAATGTATGATCCCAAATCAGGCTGCTTTGTGGTCTGGTATGCTTCTCTGTCTCCTGGAACTCCAATGCCCACAAGAAATAAATGTCTCTGGGTAAATAAAGTCACGGGACATTACAACTGTCACAGGACAGGCACCAGGCCATATGGATCTGGACACCCCTGGTGCTTAGCAGGGGGCTCTGGATGCGCAGGCCCTTTGTCGGGGTGGGCTGGCTTGAAGAGAAACGTAGCCAGAATCACTGAAGAGCCCATGATGCTTAAAAGCTGTGAGGAGAACAATGCCTGTTTCATTTTTCAGGGGATGCCTGTGTTTTCCCGTTTACCTATGACGGCAAGACTTATTATGATTGCACTCTCCAGGACTCTCTACGCAAGTGGTGCTCTCTAGACGAAATATATTCAGGGAAATGGAAATATTGCACAAAGGATGGTAAGCATGCTGCTTTTCCTCACGTGAGGAGCATGTGGGGGATTTCCATAATTGACTCCCAGGTGGAAGCCTCAATCATCACCTCACCCAGCCCCTGTGTTCCATTCACATCCCCTTTCTTTTTTTTTTTTTTAAATATATTTTATTGATTTTTTACAGAGAGGAAGGGAGAGAGATAGAGAGCTAGAAACATCGATGAGAGAGAAACATCGATCAGCTGCCTCCTGCACAACTCCCACTGGGGATGTGCCCGCAACCCAGGTACATGCCCTTGACCGGAATCGAACCTGGGACCTTTCAGTCCGCAGGCCGACGCTCCATCCACCGAGCCAAACCGGTTTCGGCTTCACATCCCCTTTCTCTTGCTAAGACTAACATAACTTCACCACAGCTAATTTTCACACCCTTTTTTCTGCTTTTCAGACTTTGCCCCATGTTTCTTCCCCTTTAACTATAAGAACAAAATGTATGACAGCTGCACAACCGAAGGGAGTTTCATTAGAAGGGCATGGTGCTCAGTCACTGAAAACTACGACAAGGATGGAGCTTGGAAGTACTGCTACTAGTAGTAACACAGGGTAAGAGCATCTAGGGAGGAGGAGAAAAGACAGGGATGAGTAGGGAAGGACAGAGTTGGTTAGAGAGATGGAGTCAGCTTATGTGGAGAGCTGGAGGAGACTTGGAGGTGTGGGAGGAGGAGGAAGGGGACAGGAGGAAGGGCAAGGAGCAGATGTTTTGACAGGAAAGAAAAAGGGAGCAAAATTAAAAAGAATAAAAGACAAAGAAAGAATGCAAACAATGGAGAGAGGAGATTTAGAAAAGGATGAAGAAACAGAGTTTGCAGATAAGACATGGAAGGAAGGATTGGGGAGGATTAGGGGTAAGAGAAGGTAGAGGGAGAGAAGGCAGGAGAGGAAGAGAGTGCAATGCAAAGTCTTTTGAGGGAGTGTGAGAGAGCTGGATAGTGCTGGGGGAGAGCAGGGAGAAACAGAAAAAAGAAACACTCCAGGGGGCTGATTGGAAGTAATCAATAGAACTCATTCACATTGACATCAAGACCGTGTTTCATGTCCCTAGAGTGACCCTATCCACAGCCATGGATTCAGTCAAGCCTTTGAACACAAAGCACAGAAAACCAAGACATCGCAAGCATGGAGGGCATACTCTGAGTGACAGAGGTGTCATCCTTTCCCTGCAACTGGAGTCCCCCTCGCCTGGCAATAAACCGCTTTCTCTGCAAGTGTGACTTTGTTGTCTTTTCCCGAAAGAAACCATCTTTCAGGTGGGAGGCGGTCTGCATGACCACCTGGATCACACAGGATCTTCACATCCGGCTCTCTCCTCCTCCAGACCCTGAAGCATCAGCATACATCATAGCTGTCCTTTTTGTGGGCTTGATTGAATGGCAAAGGTGTGGGGAGGCTGCTGGGGCAGGAGGGGCCCTGAGGCCAGAGAGGGCTGGTGCCTGCCACAGACAGTTTGTCTTTTCTGACTTCACTAAAATGTTATTTCTTTCTGGAGATATTCTCTGACTCCTCAAGTAGAAGGATGTCTGGTCATGTTCTCCCAGCCTTTCACTCTCTACTTGCAACTCAACTGCCCATTTCCCTGGGGGACTCTAAACTTTGGGAAGACAAGCTGGACTGTGTTATTTGTCTTGGCATCGGTCCTAAGTGCAGACACTGACACATACTTGGCTCTCAGACACTTTTCAAAAGGCATATATTGTAGAAAAATTCTTTCAGTAAATAGTTGGGTGCGAATGAGACACAAATTCACCGGTGCCAAAAATAGGGGGCCTGGAAGCCAGAGCGTAACCTGTGTCTGGGGCCTGAGCAGCCCAGGGAGAGATGTAACAGTGGCTGTGGGAGCTTTTAGTCACTAGTGTGGTCACCACTCATGGCCTATATAATGTTGGGGTCAGTAATTGAGACTATAACTTAAACGGAGCCATCATAAGGACTATCTAATTAAGGAACTTAGAAAATCTCTTGTGTTCCCAGAGAAGCAAGAAAGAAGCTTGTCACTGTAAATGGATTATAAGGAAACATTTATTCAAGAACATATACTAAGTATCAGTAAGAACAGCAGATCTGTGCCATCTGACCTACGCCCACCGCCCGGATGCCCACCACCCACCCCAGCTCTGTATGAGGAAAGTAACTATGAGTGGGCGGAGCCATAAAGATAGGTTCCCCTTCTTGAGTCTCCCAGTCAAGGACTATAGGTAGCATCACTTCCAGGGGAAAAGGCTGCCAGCGTTACTCCACCCCACAGGTCTATGTGTCAGAGGGTAATTTCAGGGAGGTGTGATTGACACGTTAGGGACTTTTCCCTCCACCCAGATGTCACTCATTGATTCCAGGCTCCACCCAGTGATAACAGGCCCAGAATACTGGGCTCTCTGTCACTTTGGCTCCAGCTTGTTTGTAATGAAGATTTTCCATGTTGGGAGAAGCAAGCCATGAAGGCCAAGGTCTACTAACCCTCTCCCAGTGCCCTTTTTGTAAAGCAGAGGGGGCCTTCTGAGAAAAGCCCTCCACTGTCCTTGCCTCCAGTTCTCAAGCTGTGGCTCTGAGACACAGGTAAGAACAGAGCTTTGCCTGGCCAGTATGGTTCATAGGTTGAGTGCTGACCCATGCACCAGGAGGTCACTGGGTCCATTCCCAGTCAGGGCACATGCCTGGGTTTCAGGTTCTATCCCCAGCAGAGGGAGTGCAGGAGGCAGCTAATTGATGTTGATGTTTCTCTCTCATCGATGTTCTATCTCTGTCCATCTCCCTCTCTCTCTAAAAAGAAAAAAATCGTTAAAGACACATTAAGAAGTGGCTTGACCTTAATGACTAGACACTTGGGGGGAGTGGGAGGGGAAGGGTGCACCTGCCCCTCCCATTACTGAGAGGGAAGACTTAGCCCATGCATGTAAAATACCTTTGAAGACTGCTGATCATGGTTGCCACCTAACATTAGTTTGTTTGATTTGATTGTTGTTTTTGTTTTCATTATTTTCCAACATTGCTTATCTATAATAATAAAAGCATCATATGCTAATTAGGACGGACACCTGAATGAACTTCTGGATGTCATACTGGACGTACAACGGAAGAAGCCGCCATGGCAGGGGCTGAATCAAAGGCATCTAGGGGCAATCAGGCAGGCAGGCGAGCAGTTAGTGGCAATCAAGTAGGCAGGTACAATGGTCAGGGGTGATCAGGCAGGCAGGTGAGCTGTTAGAGGTGATCAGGAAGGCAGGTGAGCAGTTAGGGGCATCAGGCAGTTAAGCAGAGTGGTTAGGGGTGATCAGTCAGGCAAGCAGAGGCAGTTAGGGGTGATGGCGAGCAGTTAGGAGCTATCAGGCAGGCAAGCAGTTAGGAGCAATCAGGCAGGCAGGCGAGTGGTTAGGGGCAATCAGGCAGGCAGGCAGGTGATTGGTTAGGAGCCAGGGGTCCCAGATTGCGAGAGGGATTTAGGGGTGATGGCGAGCAGTTGGCAAAAATCAGGCTGGCAATCAGGCAGGAAGGAGAGTGGTTAGGGGCAATCAGGCAGGCAGTCAGGTGAGTGGTTAGGAGCCAGTGGTCCCAGATTGCGAGAGGGATGTCTGACTGCCCGTTTAGGCCTGATCTGCTACAGATCATGCCTAAACTGGCAGGACATCCCCCGTGGGGTCCCGGATTGTGAGAGGATACAGACCAGGCTGAGGGAACTCCCCACCCCGTGCATGAATGTCATGCACTGGGCCTCTAATATATATATGGCTAATATGCTAAGTGACCTTCCTCCATTCAACAGGGTGCTATGACACGCACTAACCACCAGGGGGCAGACGCTCAAGGCAGGAGTTGCTGTGATGCAGAGAGATAGGGCACCATGGACCTGGAGCCCACAAAACAACACTTGGCTTCCCCCAAGTGGAACACAGGCCCAGCCACCACCCTGGAGGACAGTCCACCAAATTGCAGTTGATGCTGCCAAGACACCATGGCACAAAATGCAGCCCACAGCCCAGACTGTGAAGTGCTTTCCCGTGCCTCATCTCATTTGATCCCCACAGATGTCCGGGAGTATCTAGATAGGAGACTCGGTGGAATCCTATTTTCTTTTCACTAGTCAGAAAATGGAGATTTAGAAAGCTTAGAAACTTGACCCAACTGAAAAGAAGTAAGAAATGGAGGACTTTGAAAATGACTTCATGTTTTCTCACTGCGCAGAATATAGTCAAACACTCCTGCATTGTGTTGATATTTACTGCTGTGTTGGTGACAATTACTTAAAAGAGAAGTTGGGGTGCTTCACTGGGCTGGAAAAAAAGTTTAGCTAAATCAGAAAGCAGGTCTAATTAAGCAAGTTTATTCTATATACATGAAAGGCTAAGTTGACCAATGCATATGCAATACATATAAAGCTCTTGCTGGCATCACTCACACTCATGTGTTTCCATCTGTCATTTTTGATCGTGAATTTGGTTGATACTTCTATTATACAGAAAGGGCAAATAGCAAAATTAATTGCTAATTAATTTCCTTCCAATGTGCATGAATTCGTGCACCAGGCCACTACTCTGAAATAATTGCAGAGGACAGAGGGTCCCAGGCTGCAACTGAGCTGGAAAAAATACAGGGGGAGAGGAGATGGATGGAGGAGAAGAGAGATGGGTGGGGATGGTCTGAGTCCATTTGATGGCACAAATGCTCTGCCCCTCTAACTTTTTTCACATTAAAACATTATAATTTTGTACTGTGGTAAGAACACCAAGTATAAGCTCTGTGGATGTGCTCTACAACATAGTGACTATGGTTAGCAACACTGTATTATCTTCACAGTTTGAAGACCATTCTAATAGAAACGGGTACAGGAGAAGGCTGCAAGACATACCAGATGAGTAAGAATCTTGCACTTTCTGATTGCAATCATACTGACAACTTAGGGTTAAATAGCCAAATGGGACTCAACCCATACCACATTAATGGTGCATGTGCCCTGACAATATGGCTTCTCTGTTATCCCAAACATGTATCCCTATTTACATCAATAACTCACTGTGAACAATATATGAAACCTTGTGTGAAGGGAGGGGCTTATGTCTGGAATACTGGAAAGCAAATTTAGGAATGAGGCAGCTGTTATGGGGATCAATAGTTAATAATACTATGAGCTTTTGAGTAAGACTGACTAGGCTTACACTTCAGAAACTTGTTTTAGATAAAACAAGTCCTTACTAGAATTTGGCCACCCTGGGCAATGTGGTTCAGGTAGTTGGAGCATTCCCCAGTCGGTTCAGTCCCCAGTTGGGGCCCATACAGAAGGCAACCAATCAATGTTTCTCTGTCTCTCACTCTCTCTCTCTTTCCCTTCCTCTCTCTCTAACATCAATAAAAACATATCCTCAGGTGAGGATTAAAAAAAATAACAGTGTTTGGCCCTTGAGGCACACTCAAGAACATTATTATTATTTACTAGAGGCCTGGTTCACGAAATCGTGCATGGGTAGAGTCCCCAGGCCTAGCCTGTGATCATGGCCATCTTCCCTGGCTGCTGGCAGCCAGCCCCGCCCCCTGCCACAACCCACCCCAGTTCCCCGTTCTCCATCCAGCCAGCGGAGGGACAGAGAGGTCGGCTGTTCCTGCCCACTTGCCGGCCCCACCTCTGCCATTGGTCACCTTCTTTGTGTGGGGCCCCCCGCATCCCCCGCCACCCACCCCAGGTCCCCGTTCACCATTGGTGACCAGAGCCTGCTGGCCTAAGAAAGGGACTGAGAGGTGGTCAGTGCTCCTCATAGTGACTGATTGAGCAGATGTTCTGGTCGTTCTGCCATTATGGTCACTGGACTTTTATTAAATAGGATTATTATTAATACTAGTGGCCTGCTGCACAAAATTCATGCATGGCACGAGGGGTGAGGTATAACCCGGCCTGCACTCTTTCCAATCTGGGACCCCTTGGGGGTGTCCGACTGCCAGTTTAAACTCGATCCCACAGGGCAGTTGGAAATCCCACTTGCAATCAAGGACCACTGGCTCCTAACCACTCACCTGCCTGCATGCCTAATCACTCCTAACCACTTTGCATGTCGGCCTGATCACCCCTAACTACCCCCCCCCAATTGCTGACCTGATCATCCCCAGCTTCCCGTCCTGCTGGCCTGATTGCCCTCAACTGACCCCCTGCTGATG